ACGATCCCTACTTTTTATTAATTATAACAATACTATTAATTATATGGCATACAAATTTAAATCATTTTGGAGTGAAGGTCCCTACAACCGATTTTAATTATAATAGTTCTAGTAATCCCAGTACAGCTTTTTTCGTTTCTCTTTGTCTTTTTGAATAGGTGTAAAGAAATAACATACTCCAAAGTCACAGAAAGGTTCCGACAAAAAATTGTATTATTCAATATTCATATAGAAAAATCTGTAATATTATATAAATCAGATACAAGCTTCTTGTTGTTTATAATGTAAATAGACGTAGGAATAAATAAAAAACAAAAAAAAAAGTTATATATATTGTTTTCATATTTTATAATTATTATTAGTCATAATTTCTATCTTCCAATTATTAATTAAGATCACAAAGTTCAATTTAAAATTTTATACAATATGAAGCGATTTGTATACATCCAAACAAAAAGATAAATTTCCTTGCATAATTAGAAATCTTCTACAACCGCAAACTCACCATAGCACAATTGAAATTCACCACATAAACAATGAAGCTGTATTGACTTTAGAAGAAAATGAGTCGTATTTATCTGAAGATTTCTTAAGTTTATTTACACAAAAGCGATGGAACAGAAGCAACTTGGAAGAGCGAATGCGAGTACTAACAAAAGGCGGTGATTTCATTGACGAACTCCCCCTCCTTAGATTAATTATTTGCGTAGAATGCGTGTAAAATCAAATAGAGCACAATATTTGCCTCAAGTTGAAAACATTTAACATTTCACATTTCACATTTTAGATTTAATATTTTAGATTTAATTATGTTGCGCAGCATTTGATGTTCTTCCATGAGTTTTACTGTTTGTCAGGTGTGTGGTTTTTTTACTACCCAAAGTTGTTTATGCTCCTTCACAGCGCACTAAAAGGCTTCGTCTGCCTTTAGTGCTGCTCAATGTGGGTGGCATTCGGCGCGATACATCGATCAGATACATACGTTATTCACTACTACCCTAAGCAAGTGTGAGTGTACCTCGTAAATTATGTAAATTTCTTTTGCTGGCATTTTTAGAAACTTTGTGAGTTAATATCTTGTATGCTAATGCCCCTGCCTCACAGCTTTTGTGGTTACCTCGTTGGCATTGTTGCGGCTAATGATCGCCTCTTCAAGTGCACTCGAGTGAAAGGGATTGACTGCTTGTGAACACATCACATCGAAAAAACGGCCGTAGATTTCGGTAAGTGAGAAAAGTGTGTCACGCAACTACCGCCATTATATTTCGCACAGTATATGACATATATGGATATTATGTATGGATGATATTCTGAGAGGGGTGTTTGTGTGAAATAAGCACACTCGTATTGAGGTAATTGATTGGATTATACTGGTGTTTTCGTTAAAATAAAATTGATGTAATTAATCTGCGCAACTTATAGTAACATATTATTGCAGATAAGCCTAATGAATGCACTGCAATTGGATTCCATTTGTAGAATCAAGTGAGTTTTCATTGCATTTCGTCCAACTGCAAGCAGCTTAAGTGCAGCCTCACAACAGCCTGGTGTGGTTTCAGTTGGCATGAGAAAAATGTGATAATACTTGATAACACTCATAATTTGCTCTAATTGTGCCATCAAAAGTACTTCAAACCGAAGCAACAATCCCGAAATTATGATTTGAACGATTCTTAAGTCAAGTATCAAGAACTTAGAAATCGTTGAACATAGGAATTATCTATTTTCAAGCTCTTTGTACGCTCTCATAGGAAGCAGTAGATACACTTAACACATTTAATGCTAATGTTTATGATAATTTAATCCGAGGGTAAGTTCGACGACCTTTTTAAGCAGTTTTCTCACTCAATAAAAAATTTAAGATTCAATTAAGTTTGGTTTTCATTTAAAAACAGTTTGGATTTTGGCAGATATATGTATTCTGTAGGTATTTTTAAAATATCAACATTGGCTTGGATTCCAATGGGAAAAAAGAGATTTTAATACATTATGTGTTATGTGTTATATATGCATTACAACAATATTATTCAAGTCGTTGTGTTTGGAAATATTATACCTAAGTTCATTTTATACTATTGCATCATTTGAAAAGTGTACTTCGGTTTTTAGCACATTTCAGGAAAAAAAATTTGAATAAATTTATATTGACCACAATATTATTTATGACCTTTTGCCACTTTTCGAATTACATCATAGTTCCATCGGTGTGGAACTTTTGTGGTTTGTCGGCGAAAAGCTTCAGTTAAGTGATTTTCAGCCTTTCATTATGAGAAATTTACTGAGCCCGAAAGAAATAGTAGTAATACAAGGCATGGGATATATATGGTAGATGTATCAAAACTTCCCAATCAAATACTATGAATTTGTTCTGAGTCATTAAAAATGTATGTAGCTTGGTATTGCCTTCATTGTCTTGTTTTGATATTTCTTTTTAAATGGTCAAGTTATGTGCACTAGAAGATCAAATTACCAATTGCACCAGGCTGGAACAGCGGATAATAGACAATTGGTGTTAAAGGCAATAATTAGCTTACTAAACTAGGGATCTGACTATAATGTTGGCTATAATATAATGTTGGCTCTAACATCATCACAACTATGTAAGATAATCTCATATACTATATAGCCTAATAAAAAACAATAATTCAAGGCAAACCATTCTATTAGTCAATATGCGTAGAGGTAATGATTGTGTCTTTATTACTGGAACATCTACAAACTCTCTTACACTTTTCACATGCTCTCATTCTTATATTGGATTAAGCCATTGATGCCTTCTTAACTTTGTTTGCAGTTGATATTTATATGGACCTTATAAAACATAGAAAAGAATTTATAGAATTTATATATATATTTCTCGGAGCGTGGTGCTTCTTTGACAAACTTCAGTAAGTGAACGAAACAACCCACAAATTTTTCGAAATGTTTTTGCTGTAGTTTCATCATTATTATAGTAATAAAGCATCATATAGTGTATTTCTTTACTGACAAAAAATGACAGATAGTTTTTATATCATCTAAGATATGTACTTAAAGATTTTTCAGTTGATACACAAATTTTACTGCAACATAATTTTAATATAACACATTTTCCATTTTAACAAACCTCGCAACGTGATCAATTTTAGTCTGCGATTTATACAGTCTTTTCAAGTATATATATTGATATACATAAATCATATCTGTATAACTAGAGCTTGAATACTTTGTTCCCAAGCCTTAAGTTTGATATCCAATTTACGATATATATACTTTTCCTTCAAAGCATGTAATATACCACAAAGGTTGTCCCTCGTTCATGCACTGTATTTATTCGTAATTAGAAAAATATCGTATTAACCGTAATGACCGTAATATTACGCTTTAGCCATACAGTACACAATAAACGGTCTGGTACATTCGGTTTTTACAAACTCTACAAGTCATACGATTTATGGATTTACTTAAATGGTTGGTGTATTTACTTATACAGTGGGCAAAGACCGTATCATGCTTATTGTACAAAATAAGCAAACATTGACATTGTTCTTTTCAAACTCTACATGGTTTCTGGATTTATTAAAATGGGATGTGTATTAACTTATATGGAACACAAAGATTACATGATGAGTACAGTACTAAATACACGGTTTAGTACTGTACACGGTTTCTGGATTTAGTGAAATGGTGTAATGCATACAGTACATGGTAAACAAATAAGAATATATTTAAATGGTTGATATATTAACTTATGTGAAGCGCAAAGACCGTATTATACGGTCTTTATGATAAACTTTTCTAAGGCAAACAAAAATCCTCTGTAAATTGAACTTTGTCTTGTACAGTACAACAGATTTCATCAAAGAAATATTGAAAGCAGAGTTTTAGGGTGCGTTACACGGGAAAAATATGTTTTCATAATAGCATTTAATATGCAAAGAATGGAATTGATTTGGGTCTTCAGTTAAATTGGGATATCAAGAATTGGATAATGACCTGATAATAATTTGAATTGATTTATAGTAAATTTTTATTTTCGGACTTATTCAAATCAAAAATATAGTTTTATAACCATATTTTTTTTATTTCAAAGAAAGAAATCGTTATAAGGACCTGTAAGAAGATTTTCGCATTCTAAGTGAAAACTAGAACGGCTAAAATTGAAAATCGCAAACACAACAAGGATCACCCTTCAGTTTTAATGAAAAAAGTACATAACACAATGTCCTATAAAATTTATATGAAAGCAGTGTTATAAGTGCTATAAATGTAGGAATAATTCTTGATGCAGTCGTTTGAATTGCAAATTCGAAATTATTAACAATCAGAGGACATGAAGATAGAATCGCGTCTATGGAATACTAGTTAACAAAAGTATTTGGAAGACTGGTCTCTATTAGTACACAATATCAAAAAAAATAACAAGTTCTATGATCGGTTACCAAGCAACGTTAATGGTTTGCTAGTATTTAATAGACCAGTTATTCTGTTGAAAGATGTTTAACACAGGTATGGAGAAGAAGTAGAAGAAAACCAACTTAATCTAGGAGTTGGGAGACATATGCGTAAAAGATTATAAAAATAAAATTGAAACATAAAATACAGCAGAGACCAGAGTTTTATTTAAGGTTGTGTTCCTTAGGAACCAATGGGATCCTAAACATAAATTCAAATATGCAATTATTAGCTGTCCTATTTAATCTTCTCTCCAGGTGTTGCTCTGATAACACAAATAACGAAAACAGATGAATTAATTTGCATGATTTATTGACTAAAATTAGTTTTCAATAAATAACTTATTTAAAATAATTTAGTAAAGTTTTATGTACATATAATTCTATATGTTTTTAAATAAAATTAATTAAATTCAGAAATGTCCTTAGAAGCTTAATAAATAAATGTTTTTAAAATATAATATTAAACGTTTCAATTAAAATTAAATAAATCACATCTTATGAATAAAAAAAAAACTCGTTTAAACAAAATACTTTAATTAAAGATAAAATTTTTAAAAATGGTAATTAACTTTTTTGGCATATTTCATTATAAATAAGTTAGGCTTAAGTACACGTGCACTTCTCATTCGGCTTATATTAATAGGACATTATTAACCCTAGAACGTTAACTGAATTTTGTATACGAGTTTGAGAAACAAAGTTCATTCAACCTTAAACATAAAATTGGGCTAATAAAGAAGTTTGAAGCAAAATTCTATATTATGTGGAACTCGTCGTCGTTTCAGATTACAGTGCCGCTCGAGGCTTTCCCCACAACGTCCATTCCGCTGTAGTACATCAGTGTCATCATTTTCAACATCTTCAGCTCCTTCTTATCCTCTGCTACTGCTGTTGCTGCCATTGTAGTTAAGGATGACTTCTGGTGTGCCGCGGCTGCTGCTGCTGCTGCGGTGTTCAATACCAATACATGGGAGGATGGTGTGTGCCGTTGGATGTATTGGCTGCGTATATGGCTGCGGCTGCTGATGTCTGCTGACTGGTCTTGTCTTTAAAATACTTAAGTCATTAACATTTTCTAAAAAACTTTTATGTGCTGACAATTGTTTCACACTTTCAACATCCTTTTTGAGCTCCTCCATGTCCCGTTTCAGTTTGGCGCGTCTATTTTGGAACCAAGTGATCACCTGTTAATCATGGAGTGAATTAAAACGTGTTCCCACTTATATATGCTTTGGAATACTACTTAGGTACTTACCTGTGCATTGGATAGCCCTAGTCCTGCTGCAATTTCATCACGATCCGCCGGTGATAAATACTTTTGGTAGAGAAAACGCTTTTCGAGTTCGAAAATTTGATGATTTGTGAAAGCTGTTCGTGATTTTCGTTTCTTTTTCGGATTTGGACGAGTAGCAAAAATGTTTAAAGTGGCGGGGTCTGCAAAATGAAAGTAAAAATATAAAATACAATATTTAGTTATGACTGCTAAATCATAAATTTTATATATTTTGCACAATAAATTACAAATATTTAATTTATTTCGAACGAACTACGTACGCGGCATGATCAAAGCTCAATTTTATGTCAGTTTTCTGTTTGGCAACGATCAATCATTTTGTTGGCTTTGATTTTGTTTATGATACGGTCAAAGCCATCAAAATGATTGTATTGTAATTAATTAAATCAAAGGTGTGATTTTCAGCAGCCTAAATAACATTTCGATGTGTTTATATCGGAGATGAATTATGCCTTCTGATCAGCATTTATGAGCAAATTAAGAGGTCAAAGCACGTTCAGCTCAAATTGCTTTAATATGCGACAAAATACTTTCTATTCCATCTGGTGTTGGTTCTACTTTGATTAAATCACAAAAATTATAGATATGTTTATGATTGTTAATAGATAATCGTTAAAATAATAATAACAATAATTATCTCAAAATTAAATGTCAACAACTCTGCGTGAGATATATGCGAGACAAATTATACAAATACAGAGGTTTGAACCAAATTAAGTCAAAGTGCAATGTATGGTTTGTGTGGAAAATGATTTGTGTAAGATGAGGTAGTACCGGCGGAGATGGAAAGCTGACAAGACTAAAGTTCAGTTGAAATTCTGAAAATTTTCCAAAACCGGACTCAAATCTGTAAAGTCATAAAATGCTAATAGTGTTGTAAGAAAGAAGTTTTCCTTCTTCAACAATAAAAATCTCGATTTAGAGTATTTAAGGAGAATCTTTGAAAAGGCATTCCAGGATGTAAATGTATTACGTTCCGCTTAGCAGTTTTTAGAACCTAGCTCTTTCAATACTGTACTGCGATTAGAGTCGTATTTCTACATTTTAAATATGAGACAAAACTTCTAGTGGCAATGACAGCGTTTTACTCCAAAACTCCAATCTTTTTTTTGGAAGGTAGTCCGGGTATACTAAGAAAACTGACTGTTTTAGGCAATGAATAATGCCATGTATCATATGATAAAAATGAAGAATTTTAATCTTGCAACTGTAGAGAACTATTATAATGATATGATTAGATCTGTTGCAAACCTCTATGTCAAGAATCAAGATATAGATTCTTTATCATAAGATTAGTTCTTATTATAATCAAGATTTCTTTAACAATCCATAAAATCTTAATACACACATATATTAATATATAAATATAAAGCATTTCAGCTTAAAGTGTTTTGGATTTAAATCTTATTTAAAGTAAATGCTCTTATTTAGATTTTTGTAGTAATAAGCTTTGAAATGAAATCCATCTTAATGTTATATACTCATTTGTGATAAAATATTTTGGAAATTTCTTTAAGTTCATAAACGTACATAATAACATATATAACACTTATATATGTAGATATTTAAAGTAAGGATATGATTTGTTAAACTGACTAAATAAAATAGTTATCATCTATTCATTGTCTTACATAGAATATCTTATCTTTATCATGTTATTGTTAATAACGTTATAGGTTAAGTCAATTTCTAATTTCTTCCACTCTTTTCCCTTTGGAAACATTATCAATAGCCATTTCGAATACCCATAGTTTTCAGATTGTTTCCTATCGTCTTCAATCTATCTTTTTTACGGTCCAGGTCTTGCTTCTCTTCAATTTAGCATGACTTTTATAACTCTTTCGTAATTCTCTTGCTTGACATTCAACAGGGGTTATACCTAACTAAGGACATTCTTGTGACTTTATTAATTAAACAATATTTACTTTGTAAATTATATCTCTTACTTGCTTTGGATAATTGTAACAGCGCATAGCGTCTATATCTAAATCCCATATGTTACCTTTGAACATGTAAGTTATACTCAGATCAGTATGTTATACATAGAGATCAGTATGTGATTGATCAGTTTGTCCTTTAGTAAGTTTGGGTACGCAGTGTATGCTCTATTGTATACGATAGGATTGTAAAACTCGCATTGTTATTAAGGGTTATTGCTATAGGGTCTTTCGTGACATCTGGACCGTATTAGAAACTTCAAACTACTTTCATGAAATTTTAATGTAAAGATTTCAAGTTACTTTGGCTTGTCTTTTCAATAGAGTGATTATTTAAAGCACACATTCAAGGAGTGACAAAAAGTTCCCGGTGCATTTCGCAAAATCTGTTAATATCGCTATATAAAAAATAGGTAAGCATTTTATTTTATTATACGAGTTGTTGTAAACGATTTCTATCAAGGTTGATTGATTAAAAGATGATTGCATTAACGGTAGCTGGTGCACAGGTAATGCAAAATCGTTGCCATTAATTAAAAATCATACTTCAACACAGCATCAACTTTGAGATATAAAGAAACCAATTTAGTTTATTTTATGAGGTAGTTTAATTAGATACTTCAGTAACATTGTGCTTTTCATAAAAATTGCATTAAAACATGCAACTGTCAGCATAACTACCCACAGCAATAAAATTTTAGTATTGAATTAAATATTTGTTTTGAATTTACCAAACCTCTTCAGCTGAATTTTATAGAGTCTTTAAATGGTCATTATAATGACAGAGCATTCTCAAAGTCATTGGTGGATGGTTTCTATCAATGATTTGACATGAGATAAAAAACAAAAAATATAAATCAGTTGTTAGCTAAGTGCAGTTAGATTGATTTATATTCTGAATTTTACTATAATCAGATATTTACTTTAACACAAATTTTAAGTCACAAGGTTAAGCACACCAATAAATTATATTTTAGTGTTTGAATTATCTTTATCAAGAACATCAACAGTACGTTTGCTCGTCATGGGTGAACAATGTAAGTTGATTACTTTTTAATGAAGAAAAGATAAATAAAGACAGGTCTCTTATGTCATTAGGACAACAAATCCAAAGAAAACTACTGCAGAATTATATAACGAAATAGATAAGAAGTAAGACAATTGGTGTTTTGGATAAGTTCTATAATAACAGCAAATAATTTTCAAAAATGGCAGTCATACCTGAGTCAACCTGTAAATGTGTCAAATAGTAAGTCGTAATGCAAGGTGCAACAAAAAACCATCCTAGTTGTCATAGACAAACTCATGACTGCGCCATCATGAAGTGTGTCGTATTTAAGAATATTATTTAATCAATACTCTTATTGGTAGATCTTTAAATCTTGAGAAAATAAAGGAAATATGCCGAATCCACAAATTCTCATATCCAATTTCCAAGTTAGTTTGATACAGCAAGATGGCTCTAAACTTAATTTTTAGTAATTGGCTTTCAAACAACCGAATGTTCCCCACTCCGGGGTGCTATCGCAGGATCAAAACGTGTACAGCGATAGTCTCTATTTTTGGGGCGGCTAATGCCCCACCGTGAGAGATGGAAGTGCACAATGTACGTTCCTTTTTTATGAAAGATAAGTTGACCATCTTATCTTCACCACCATTGGAAGGAGGATAACTATTTTAAAGCCTATGGTTAGGTATGAATATTAAAACCTTCTAAAAGAGGGATATTTTAACCTACTTTTAAGTGGGTGTTTAGTTGTTTTGTATAGTTTTAGTTGTTAGCACAAAGAATCTGTTCCGCTCCATTGGGACATTAGAATCATATCATTTATTATTTTATACTATTCTAGTATAGTATATGTACACAGATTGTCGACTCTGCTTAGAAGCAGACGAGACTTCCAGTCACATTCTCTGTGACTGCCCAGCCTTGATCTGGGCCAAAAGGAGGTCACTGGATCGAAAACTACTCTCCCCTTCTGACATTAGGAGGTCTTCAACGGCCGACATTCTGGCTTTCCTTCGAAGGTGGAATCTCTTCTGTTCGGTTAGGGTCTGTTGCAGTACAAAAGATCAACCATGGTCGCAGTGCTCCATTCCGTTGGGAGCTGATACCCCGTTTATTCCTATTCCTATATGTACATAGTATAAATATATATCAGTTTTTTGAATTCATTGTATATATATAATTTTAGAGCTCAAGGCTTTACATATATTATGTAAAACTTTTCTATTTTGGCTGAATTAAGTTAAAAATTTTGATTAAAATAGTATCCGCCGCAAAACATCAATCAACAAGAATCACCTCTAACAATACAAAAAACAAATATTGAACTCCTAGCAAATCATAAAGAAAACCAATAAAAATCCTATGGATTCGTGTGCTTGGGAAAAAACTATAAAAAATTTTTGAAGTTTGAAGTCAAACATATGAAATTGTTTTCTGAGGGAATTTTTGGTTAATTTGAGAAAACAAAACAAAGCAATGGCAGTAATCACATCGTCATACGACCAAAAAAGTATCTCTGAACTCCAAATGTGTGTGTTGATGGATGTGATGTGCTACTACTTCAATTTTGATGCTAATAAATATTCAAAAAATACAAAAAAAAAAAAACAAAAAAGCTAATTTATTGTATTTCATAGGTAAAATTTTGTTAAATGAATGAAAATCATTTCGTTGAAGTTTCGTTATGAATTCCAATGAATTTCTCAATCAACACCAAAAGCCACCAAAAGCCACTAAAACTGAAAAATCAAATCTGTTTTGATTTCAATGATTTTTTATATAAAAATTAATGTGCGGATATGGGTGAGTGTGTTTAACAGTGTGAATGAATTCGATCTTTTGATCTCCGGCATGCGATAAACTCATAAAAATCACATTAAAATTAACAGCTACAACAACAACAAAGCTGTGATATAAATACTCAAAGATAGACACATTCATAGAGTTTCTACAATATGGAATGAGTTTTAAGTTCCATAAACGTTTTTGGTCAAAAATTAATTGTATTTTGTTTTAGTGCTCCCATCTGCTCCTTTTATTTGATGATTTCTGTTAAATGAAGATAATTATGTGCGGTACAGCAATTAGTTATCGTGATGAGTTTTTATTTCTTCAAATCTTGGAGTTATACTTGAATAATAAACATTTATATTTATTATTGTCGAATACCCTTTACTTATTTTGGGTAAGGGGT